AAATCTTAATTTCGACCGTTACCTGACTTCCGAGTGTCCGATTTCGATTCCGTAAAAAGCTGTGATCTCGGAATTTGACGTACTGCAACAATTTCACACTTAGAAGACCATACAACACATCCTCGACTCTTGGAATACTTAAAGGACTTGTTACACCAATTTGCACTCCATGTTAATATTTTCTTTATCATCCACCGGATGTCACTATCCATCCTTTACATACGCGACCTCATAATCCGTCGTCGTAGCACACATCCCAAGCACCCGTCTCAAACTGCTCAAATAATTTAATTATCTTGATTATCCAAAAAGATACATAACAGGGAGGTCTCAATATAAGATAAATTCTCGTAACTAAGTCAACCACAACTCCACTCCGCGCTCTGGTTGTGTATCACTATCTTGTCAAGATGACTTCCAAACAGTCACAATTATTCGGCAAACCGCCAACTCCTCACTTGTAGCATCCTGGAGAAGCACAAGTTCCTCCCCCACTTTAATCATTCTCACTCCTTGCAGACAAAGGTTAAATACCAAACGCGCACCGACAGTGTTTTCACACACATGTCGCGTACAAGGGGACAACCAACATTAGACAACTTGGTCGGATGGACCGACCTGCTCTGATACCACTTGTAACACCCCACTTCCCAAAACAAATAAAATATAAACATTATAATTAAACATCAGAGTTTTCATCATTTACAGTGGAATATCACATCACCAATAAGTCATCAAAATACTTTATTGATTATTTTCAAATTAATGCAGCGGAAATTGTCATTTCAACATTCTTGGCCATCTGCCAGATTTCATAAAATCTCTATTATAATTCACCAAAATGTGATACGTCACAGGATTACAACAAGTTTGACGCAAAACAATTAAAACACCCATATCCCGTGTTACGTATCAGAGCACCCTAAGACTCGACCTGTACACCGCTATCCAAGCTATCTATGTACCTGGATTATCTGTACTTCCGAGGAAGCACAGACCATAACAACAAACAACAAAGGGGTGAGAATCACGATCGAATAATAATGGTATAATAGTACATGAAATAAAAGGAAGAATCTATATAAATCATTTCACATACATATTATCCGGACACACTGTCCCATCGTTCAATCACAATTACAATCACGCAACACGTGCGCACACACACACCTCGAAACATACGGTATCGACTCATTCGTCCGTCAGATTCTCCTAGGAACCGAATATAACCATCGCATCAAGCGAGGTTCTGCAGATCCTACACGGGATCAATTATAACCATCGCATCAAGCGAGGTTCTGCAGATCCTACACGGGATCAATTATAACCATCGCATCAAGCGAGGTTCTACAGATCCTACACGGGATCAAATATAACCATCGCATCAAGCGAGGTTCTGCAGATCCTACACGGGATCAAATATAACCATCGCATCAAGCGAGGTTCTGCAGATCCTACACGGGATCAAATATAACCATCGCATCAAGCGAGGTTCTGCAGATCCTACACGGGATCAAATATAACCATCGCATCAAGCGAGGTTCTGCAGATCCTACAGGGATCAAATATAACCATCGCATCAAGCGAGGTTCTACAAATCCTACACGGGATCAAATATAACCATCGCATCAAGCGAGGTTCTGCAGATCCTACACGGGATCAAATATATACTAACATCATACACCGCAGTGTATACTACACGACACGCTCAACATTCATGCCAAATCGTTATGCATTATTAATCGAATTAAACGATGCACGAAATTACCCAAACGACTACAATTCATAACCTAGGATTCACGCCTATCGGCTACCCACAATACATCACGAGCCATCACACCATCTTCTAAATCAAGGAAGGGTCGATCGCAATCGGAACCCCAAGTCACAACTGTACCCAACAGCAGAGAAGACTCATTCTGCTATGTTCGCTACACGATCGCCTAGCGAGCTGCTAGCGAACGTTCGCCACCTTCTCGCCTAGCGAACTGCTAGCGAGCAAGAACAGAAGCTACAGACTTCGTTCGCTACCTCGTTCGCTACAGCGAACCCCCAACGAGCCATTCGCTACTCCATTCGCTGCCAGCGAAGGAGACCAAAACACCATTGTCCCAAGTCTGGGACCGTTCGCTACGCACTCGCCTATCGAGATGCTAGCGAACACTCGCGACCTGCTCGCCTAGCGAGCCGCTAGCGAGCGTCTGCGAACTGAACTTTCTCCCACTGTTCAGAATCCAAACACCTGATGAAATCTCCCGATAAATCCCAACTTGTTCCCAGTAGCCTTAGCCTAACATATATTGACTAATCTACGGTATCTAAACGTGATTCTAACCGATAAACATCAGTTCTACCGATTTAACTCATTTATGCCCTAAATGGAAAAATGAGGAAAACATTCCAACAACTAACACAATCCATACATAATCATAAACATTAATAAGATGATGATACTTCACACCCTTACCTGATTATTTGCAAGCTTTGATCGATTCTTCCAGCCTCTAGGTTTTTCTCTTCTTTCTTCCCTCTTTCCCTTCTCTTCCTTTCTTTCTTTTCTTTTTCTTTCTAATGTTACTAACTTTCTTTCTCTTCTCTTTTTATCTCATCTTTCCATTTCTTTCCTCTCATTTTCTTTCCCTCCACTAACTAATCAAATCTCATAAATTAACCACTTAACATTAAATAGGAAAATGTCTATAATACCCTCCAAAACTATTTTCTCAGAAAACTCCCAAATTCGGTTAAAATAGGATAATATGTAAACATAACATATTTTCATGCAAATTCCACCTCAAAATAATATTCGCCCAATTAAACCAAAAAGGACTCAACGAAAAAGGAATAATCGAAATCGGGGCGTTACAGCAGTTGGTTGTGTCGATAATGATGGTTGCGTCCGTGGGTCGGTCAAAAATTGATCCGGAGCAACATGGACATAAGGAATTGCGCGGAACCAAGTTAAATACTGTTGACTTGGCTTGCGTTCACCTAATACAGAGTCCCCCTGCAAAATCACATGTCTTCTGTGTCTCCATTCTTGGACCTCGTCCTTATTTAACTGTTGTCAATGAACTTTTTGCGCTTTTCGCATGGTCATTGCGTGTTGATCCTTTAGACACTTAGGAAGGGGAGGGATTTGTTGGTCTACTCCAAACTGGAGTGTTACCCTATCTGTTTGATACATCTCAACAATGTAAAAACAAATAAGGTATGTTGTGGCACTCCAGATTTGGCTATCTTCTAGACGCGGGACCGGGTACTGAATGTACGGCCTCCATATAAACTGTCATATAACAAAGAAAATTAAGATGCCATTAAATTGAAGAACCGACCACGATTTTCACTTGGTTTAAAACTTACATCTTTTTCTTGCATATGGTCCAACGCGTTTCGATATCCTTGAAGATGGAAACGAGGAGTTGCACGGTAATTCATTCCTCTTTGTGCCCATCTTGTACAATCAAAAACAAAATAATGTTAGACATATTTGAATAAGAAATATATATATTTTACGTACATAAATATGAGTATTATATTACATAAATACCTTTGTGCATATGGATACAAGGGTTCCATCGTGCTGACAGGAGCGAACAATGGGATGCGTGTGAATGCCCAAGAAGTTAGTAGGAGAGCACAACCACTCATGCTCCTAACTTCTTTTTCTGCTGCCTTGCACATTTCTCTGTACAATTTTGCAAGGCATGCAGAACCCCAACTATATTTTCCACATTCAATGAGATCCCCCACGAAAGGGACCCAAGAAGAATGCAAAAGGTTTTGAGTTTTGTCAGGAAACAAAATTGTTGCGATCACGAGTAAAATAAATAATTTGGCTTCTAATAAAACATCTTCTTGAGTCGGGTTTTCTTTGTTTTTTAAATTTTCATACTCACTTTCAAGCCAAGTTATCCTAACAAAACCTTTCATTTTATCTTCTTCTTTTGGTTCCTTCCCCAAGTAATCCATGTAAACAGAACTTGTTACCTCAGTGGGACCATTGATAGCTTTGCCATCAACTCGTAGACCTAGTAACATACATGTATCTTCAAGGGTTATGGTGCATTCACCTGTTGGCAAATGAAATGTGTGGGTCTCGGGTCTCCATTTCTCCAATAGAGCAACAACTAGGCTTGAGTCGATTTTCAAACTGTTTATTTTTGAAATGTGTGTGAATCCTGCGATCTCAAGATAAGACATTATTCTATCATTCGCTCGAACAGGAGAATGTGAATGCACCCTAAACCTCGGGGCATTAATCTGCAACAATATTAAACCAACATTAGTTAGTCACAATTTTTACGACGAAATAATAATTTGACAAAGAACAACATATAGAATTTGAAAAACTTACACTGTTATTGATATTTTGTTGTGTTCCACGGTGCTCATCGCCCATCCACAACAATGCCATTTTAGTCGGGTAAAAATTGCAAGATAGTAGAGGAATAGAAGTGAGAATTGCTAGGAAGTAGAGAGAATTAGTAAAAATGTTGTGTAAATTTTGGAGGTAAATAATTTGAATATATAGTAGTGTGTATGAAAATAAAGTATTAGGGTAAAAATATTTTAAAGTTATAGATTGAAGAGACTTTTGCATGGCACCTACGTTTTTTTTTGCATGCATGCAAGGCTAGCTTCTTACACAATGTCGTATGCATGTGAAACATTTTTTGCAGACCCTCACAAGTTCGTCCATGGGTGGGACGAACCAAAGATTCCCCTCACATGTTCGCCCTTTTGGTGGACGAACCAAAGGCAATGTTGTTGGAAAGTTCGCCCTTTGAGTGGGCGAACTAGTGATACTGAAATTTTGATATTCGTTTCCTTTGTATGTATGTTTGAATCACTATATTATAAACCTCTCTTTTATGCATCAATTACCACAATCAAACTCCCCAAAATTCAATCATACACTTCTACAAAAATTCAAACTCCCCAACATTCAATCTTACACTACAAAAAAAATTTAAACTTCTCAAATTTCAAACTCCAAAATGTCACAGAGAAACATAATTACCACATGTCACTTTAACGGTGTTGTTTCGACAAACACTCCTGTTGGATTCCCGTTCAGCAATACGGATACATACGCCTTCAAAATTCATGTCAATTCAGATTTTTTTCATTTTAAGGATAAAATGGAAAAAAAATTGGCACAAGGCGTTGAGGAAATCATTTATCGCCATCCCACCCTTAATGAAGACGACTGTACGATTTTTTACATTATGACGCCAATAAAAAACGACGAGGATGTGAAGGCAATGTTTCGGTGCCACATGATGTTTGGTCAGTTACCTATAATTGAGGTGTATGTCAGACTACAACACAATCCCGAAACATTGCCAACTCAGGAGACCCAGTCACACTGGTACGGGATGAGCCAAACATCCGACGACGAACCAACGCAAAACAATTTACCTTTCATACCATATGAGGAGGTTGGAGAATCAAGTGATGACGATATTTATGAGGAGATCAGGATGCAAGATGTTTTTGGTGACAACGGTGACGAAGACAATGAAGACGAAGATATAGTTCTCCCGTCTACGCAACCGATCCGCGCACAACCCGTAAGTTTGTATAACCCGCCGAGACACATGCAAAATATTGATTTTGAAGATGACGACACAACCTCCGTGTTTGGAAGTGCTATTCAAAACCATATAGGTGACGAAATAGAGATCGGTATGGAGTTTGAAAATAAGGAAGCCTGCGTCCTCGCTCTGCAGCATTGGCACATAACACACTGTGTGGACTATTGGGTGTATCAGTCTGACAATGAACGATATGTCATTCAGTGTAAGAAACAAGACTGTAGGTTCAAGTGCAGAGCTTCATTTAGACGAAGGAACTCAAAATGGGTGATCGGTAAGCTGTCTGGGTCTCACACATGCACTACGACGTCGATGGCACAAGACCATAGGAAGCTCAGTTCAGAAATGGTTTGCCATAGCATCAGAGAACTTGTCAACAGCGACGCCTCACTTAAGGTAAAAGTGATCGTTGCCCATATTCTATAAAAATACGGGTACATTATATCTTACCGGAAGGCGTGGATCGCTAATTGCAAGGCGGTAGAGTCGCTTTATGGCAATTGGGAAACATCGTACAACGACCTACCGCAGTGGATACTGGTAATGAAAACCTTTCTTCCAGGAACCATTATAGATTTGCAAACCCTACCTGCAACATCAAGTGATGGTTCCCAAAACTCCGGAAAACGAATATTCCATCGTCTGTTTTGGGCATTTCGTCCGTGTATACGTGGTTTCGTCTACTGTAAGCCCATTGTGCAAGTAGACGGGACATGGTTGTACGGCAAGTACAGAGGAACTCTATTGACGGAGGTGGCACAGGATGGCAACGTAAATATTTTCCCAGTGGCATTCGCATTGGTCGAAGGAGAAACAAAGGAAGCCTGGAGTTTTTTTCTGAGGAACCTAAGATTACACGTGACACCACAACCGAATTTATGTCTAATATCTGATAGACATGAATTGATAAAAAGTGCATACAACAATCCTGAAAACGGTTGGCAACATCCACCCTCTTCACATGTCTACTGCATAAGACACATTGCTCAGAACTTCATGCGCGAGATTAAGGACAAGGTTCTACGCAAAACACTTGTTAACATGGGTAACAAAATAAATACCGCTTATCTAAAATTTTGTGACACGTTTTTATCATTTTTTCTCACACAATTTCTGATACAGGTTACGCATTGACGAAGGCTTCATTTAATTATTATTCCGGAGAAATCAGAAGATCCAACACTGAGGCTTTAAATTGGATAGACAATATTCCTAGGGAGAAGTGGGCTAGAGCATTTGACAGAGGGAAACGTTGGGGACATATGACATCTAACTTAGCAGAAGCAATAAACTCTGTACTAAAGGCTACGAGAAACCTTCCCATCACGGCATTGGTCCAGTCTACATATTATCGAATGGGTTCACTATTTGGTAAACGAGGACACAAATGGACCAAGATGCTATCTTCAGGGAAAGTTTTCACAGATGGTTGTAACAAGGGAATGGCTGAGGAGGTAGCCAAGGCTAACACACACAACGTCATGCAATTTGATCAGGAAAGATTCTGTTTCATGGTGCAGGAAAAGATTAATTACAACGATGGTCGTCCAACGGGTACTTTCAGCGTTGACTTGAGGAATCGTAAGTGTGACTGTGGAAAATTTCAAACGTTTCACTTGCCTTGCTCCCACGTGATAGCGGCATGTTCTAGCATACGACAAGACTATGCAATTCACATTCCAGAGGTCTTCACAGTACTTAACGTATTCAAGGTTTACAAGGAAAGCTTCCTGGGACTACCACACGAGGAGAACTGACCAAAATATGAAGGTTTCACTCTGTTCCACGACGATTCAATGAGAAGAAATAAAAAGGGGCGTCCAAGAAGTAGTAGAATTAGAACTGAGATGGATGACGCAGAAAAAGAGAAGAGACGGTGTGGGATTTGCAGAGAAATAGGTCATATGCGTAGTAAATGTCCCAATGTTGCCGGTCCGTCAAACCGACCGAATAGATAATTATATTGTACTACTTTCGTATTTGATCCATCAATAATTATTAATTCAAAACAACTTTCAAAATACAACAAAAGCAGCGAACTACAAACATAAAGTTGATCCTTTACTCCACAAACGCAAAAATAAAACTCATGAAACTCACATAAACTCTAACATACAATAGCGACCAACACAAGTGGATTTGTGACTCCTTTGTTGACTTCACCGCTATGTGCTGAAAATATGCAATGGACATCTTCATCGTTTTCTATACGATCTAGGTATTACATGTACGTCCCCTCCGGGCTAGCATCAGTAAGCGTTATATATGGACAACGATACTCAATTTTTTTCACCGTCACGCGGCGACCGCCCAGCTGCCGAAACCCGGTGTTAATTGCTGCAACCACGGTTCTGAAATTCCACAGCGGATCTAGGTAAACACTGATTTTTTCTCAGGTCCATAGAAAACATGAGCTTGTACAGACATCTTTATAATTCGGATAACTTGACACGAATGATAGTAAATCGGATACGCTTATTTATACAAAAAAATTATGTCTGAGTTCGATCATTCAGTGACCGAGAGTCTGTAAAAATAATTTAAATATAAAATTAATTAAATAGTTTTTATATTAAATTAATTTAATAGTTTTTATACAAAATTAATTAAATAATTTATATATTAAATTAATTATATTAATTAAATATATTTTATATTAAATTAATTAAATAATTTTAATATAGAATTAATTTAATTTTTTTTTATTAAATAGTTTTTTTATTACTTTAATTAAATAGATTAAATATATTTTGTAGACAATATGTTTTAAATAAATAGTTTTAATATGGAAGATATTTTTTATGTTTTATATTAAATATATTTTTTATTATTTTAAATAAAAATATTAAATATATTTTTTATTATTTTAATTAAAAATATTAAATATATATTGCAGAAAATATGAAGAAAAAAAAATTCACCACTGGTGTGCCCTTGGGATGGGCGAACTCCTTCAATGGCGTTTGCTTCCACTGGTTCGCCTTTGGGTTGGACGAACTCATGTTTGCTTTTCAGTTTTTCGTCCCTAGCATGGGCGAACTCCCTCAAAAGTAAGGCACTCTGGTAAAAAAATTTCAAACTAGAATATTGTGGGAATATTGGTTTCAATATAGGGTATTTGTGTCAAAGACACAACTTTTCCCTTTCCTTGCGATGGAGTTATAAAAAGGCAATACACAGTAGGAAAAAGGGGGAGGAACAGAATTTGTTCCATTAAGAAAAAACACACAACCATATTCTTTTTGACTCTCCAACTCATAAGATCTTCACAAAAACTCCAACCACTAATTTCAACCAACATCCCTACAATTCATTCTCACTTTCCTTCATTCTTGTTCATTAATCCATGTCCAAACACCATAAGTTACATAGTTGGTGCACAAGTTTAGCGGCTATGGACGACATTGCAGCAATCTCACGGTGCTTCCCTCTTTATTAACTCATTGTGACGGTTACGACGCTCTCAACACAACCGCAACATCCACGCATCATAAGCAGAGGTACAAATATTGTTTCCCATTTTATAAACTTCCTATGTTTTGTCATTGTCATGCTTCCGTGAAGTCTCGATCTGTATATGTTTAGTTGCTTTACTTAAGTTGTCATGGCCATTGATGATATGTGACTCATGTAGTTGCTCGAAGGCCACTTAATATTTTAGCAGTCCATGCCAATATGAGATATATGTCGTTCATTTTGGTTGCATGCTTTCATTTATGGACGTTATGGTGTTATTAAAGCTGCTCACGTGGTTCGTTTATTCTCATTATCGGTTATGATCCGCCACTGTCGTTTGTATGTGTGCATGTTGTTGTCTTTTTTTATTCATATCACTTATGGTAGCTAGCATGAAGTTGTGCCTTGTTTCTTATGGGTGTATTAAGTGAATGTATAACATTTGTGTGTTAGCATATGTTATGTGATTGTGTAGTATTTGAAGTTGCATTATGAAGAAAAGTTGTGATGCATTGTTGAGATACTTATTATTTTAGTGGAAGTTTCATGGGGTTTTAAATTCAAGCTTCGGTATTTCGTAAACATTTCGATGAATGTTCCACCTGGCTATTATATGATGTGAAACAACTTATTACTGTGATGTGTGAGCATAGGAAAAATGTGGGTTTGCATATTCCAGTAGCCTAAGCTTTTCTATCCTTTTGTTTTGGTTATTTAAAAAACAAAAACAAAGTTATTTGGTTAAAGTTGGTCCTTAGTTAGTTTGTTTTTCTTCTAAGTTTTTCAATTGTTTTGTTAAAAAGAAAAAAGCAAACAAAAATATATTTATATTTTGGCTTTAGTAAGTTGGTTAGAATTGTGAACAATACAAAATACCAATTAATTTAACCTTTTGTTTTGATATTTTATTAAGTTTGTTTTTCTTCCTTTTTGAGTAATATATCATTGTAAATTTTTTTTTTGTCATCTGCTCTTGATCTTAGTTTTCATACCTAAAGCTTTGTCCAGTATCCAATTCCAAATGAAGGAATCTCATAGTTGACTCGTAAGTCATGTTGTATACCTTTATCTATCTTTTCTCCGAGACCTTGTGAGAGTCTTGCCTGTTTAACCTAGTTTAGGTAGAGAGTTAGTTAACTCCACGTAAGTACCCTGGTTATGGATACTTACTCCCCTTTGGAACCTTGACCACAGTCAAGAGTTCCTCATCCTTAGTAGGCCGAACTACGGTGGCTCTGATTCCATCCTAGTCAGGATACGTAGGCGTAAGATGCGATATCTTGTCGAGCCCCCTAACCTCTAACCACAAACAACTAACTGTCATCTCCCCCCTTTTGGTCTCGTTAGAACCAATTGGTTTTGCAACTTAGATTTAGATAGAGTTGGTAAACTCTATGTGAGTATCATGGTTATGGATACTCACTTTCCCTTTTGACTTTGGTTAAAGTCAATCTTAGTTAGTTTCAACTTAGATTTAGAGAGTTGATTAACTCTGTGTAAGTATCATGGTTATGGATATTTACTCCCTTTTGGAACCTTGACTGTTATCAAGAGCTCCTCGTCCCTAGTTAGGAGAACTACGGTTGCTCTGATTCCATCCTACTCAGGATACGTAGGCACGAGATGTGATGTCTTGGCGAGCATACTTAGTGTATATACCCTTAGGTCTTTACCTTAGCACATTTCCCTTAGCAAGCAAATTTAGCATAACACAAATACTAACAAGAGGTTCATGTAGAGTACTACAGATACTTAGGATGCTAACACCTTTCCTAGGTATAACCAACCCCCAAATCTTAGATCTCTAGCTTCGTTGTTACGTAGCGCACTTAGGGCTTTCTTCGATCTTTACCCTTTCCTTTGGATAAATCAAAGCTTGGTGGTGAAATTCATGATTTGTGATTCAAGTTAATTAATAGCTTGATATCCGATTCTCACCGCAATAGATAGTATCGGCACCAATGAAGCTT